TATCAGAAATTATAATTTTATGATTAGATTGCATGAAAGGTACAATAAGGTACCTTCAGTGGTTTAACAGTAATTCGAAGTTTTTTAAAATGAGAATGAAATTTATACTCTTTTACATTTAAGTAATTCATTAACTTCGCAGGCATTTAAACTTTACATTTGACGTTTTTTCATTAATTTATTACTAATATTGTAATGCGAGATAAGATTTATTCTGGTAGTATCATTGTAAAGTCATTTAAAAGAAGTGCTGTAGTTAAATGCAGTTAGCTGTAAAACAGTAAGATTTTTTTGCTTTCTTTATCAATTAAGATAACATATGTGTTCTTGTATTGCAGTTGTTAGTCTTTTAGCTTTATATTAGATATAATAGTAGATTATCATAAATTAATTTACTAGGTTTTTTTTTAATCTTTTCCAGTTTTGTCATTCTGTGGTAGTTCTTCAGTAGTTAGTCATAGGTATTATTTCTTCGATTTCATTGAATAATAGTCAAAAAATACTTGTGGAATGCGTTGGTCATGGGTCATGAGCTAGTTTGCTTGACAACTTTTGGTTTTGCCGATTTCTTTTTATGCAAATAGAATTTTGTTTCATTTTCAATTAAATATCTGGGATATTTACCTGTTCGAATTCGTGAGTGTAAGAATATAATTGTTGTAATCGTACTGCCTCTTTTTTTTACGAAGCTTAATTTATCAAATTGTTTTCATTCAGAGAGATAACTTTTCATAATACTGTATATCACTGTAGTTATGAAACAATTACGATGCTAAATGAGTATTCGCTTACAGATCATGCCTGAGGACGTGGAAAATTTATTGAAAACTTCAGGCAGTGGTGATATAACAGTGCTAACCTCGTCAAAGAATGAAATTTTAAAGCTGAAATTCTCTGATGATAATAAGGTATGAGGTTGGATTATCAAGAAAACAACGTATTGTTGCATTGCATTTGTCAGTTTTTGAGCTTTGTGTTAGGTATAGTAAATTTTCATAAATTGGTTAATTAGTTTTTTTATTTTCGTTGTTAGTTATTTAATTTTATGGTAATTTTTCAGTAAGTAATTGTATGTGTATTTCTTCGATTTTATTAACTTATCTTATGCCGTATTCGTAGGATGCATTGAATGAACTAGACATTGGTTCAGAAGATGCAACTAAACTAATCAACGCATTAACAAAAGCTGACCAAACCGAACATCAAATAAGTTACCGGTAAATGCAATCAGTGTTAATAAGCATTGTATTATTCCACTTCGTATAAACACGTGAAAAATCATTTGCATACTGGTGTCCAAAGTCAATTTAGCTGACGAATCTGCATGCAACAAAATTTATAGAGTTTACAGAGTATATCGACAGCGTTGGGTCATTCTGGCAGTAGTTGCACTATTGAATAATTCAAACACGATGTCCTGGATTTCTTTTGCACCCGTTTCCAATTATGTTGATGCTTTCTATGGAGTGGTTAGCATAGATTTTTACTAGTTTGTTTATAACGTTTTAGTATTTAACAATCACATATGCTCCATATTAATAGAATTTTATATATTACTGAAACGTATCCATATTAATAGATACGTTTCAGTAATATATAGAATTCAGTACCTCATATTCCGAAAATTTATCGGTAGTATTATCAGATTTTTTATGTCTAAAGTAGTTTATCTGGCATATTTTTACTATTTGTAGTAATGAATTGTGGAATTGCATCTTTTATATGCTTTACAGTTCTTTTCAATTAGCTCTAAAACATTTTAAGTTAATCCTGTTGTTTGAGATTATAAGAATTTGTTCTGCATAATTGGTAATGTAGCCGATTTATTTTATTTTATTCTTCGTTTCAGAGTAAAGCAGCTAATTGGTTTTCCTTAGTTTACATAATCTGCACTATACCAGTAGGCATGTTTGCAATCTGGATGGGTAGTTCATTTGGACTTCGGTTGGCTATTCTTATCGCTGCTTGGACTAATGGTATTGGTGGTACTGTTCGTTTTATTAGGTAAATATTTCTGGTAAAGATTCATAATTTTTCAGTGTTAGGTTGACTGTGAATGCAGCTGAAATCTGTTTGTCCAGCAATCATCATTTCCAAATTTGAGATTTATTTCAAAAAAAGGTAGCATAAAACCATAGTACAAAACTCAGGGAGTCCTCATCTAATTTCTTGTATGTCGATTTGTAATTTATATGAAAGATTTTATATGCTATTAAACTATAAAACCTCTTCCTCTTGAACTTCAGAAATTAAGTGAGATTTTTTAGTTCATTTCTACCGTTGCATTTGCGTTTTCCGATTGGGATTTTTGGACAAGCAGTGGCTGCTTGTGCATATCCATTTATTATGTTTCTTCCTTCAAAAGTTCGTCTTTTACTAATTTCAACAAGTCAATTTTTCATTCAGTGACTCCATAAAATTTGTAAAATATAAATTTAGGTTGCTGCGTCCTGGTTTGGAGAAAATGAGAGGGCGTTAGCGACAACTATTGGAGTCATGGCAAATCCTTTAGGAGTACTGATGGCAAATATTCTTTCTCCACAAATAGTACAATCACTCGCAGATGTAAGAGTTATGTAGTGTGAAGCCTTTGACTTACTGTTTTTTACAGTATATGGACTCTCATTAAAGTTGTACGAAAGAAAAGTAAAATTAAGTTTAAAAACTTGTTTTCAATTATAAAAGTGATTACATACTATGATGCATCACAGAAATACTGTGGGTCTTTCAAGTTGAAAATATTAAAATTTGGCTTGAGCATCATGTTGCTAAAAGCTGGAAAAAAAATGTATGAGTAAATTAAAAGCCCTGAAAAGGGAGAGAGTAATTTTCAGGTATTAATAATAAATGCTGTAACATTTGTACCTTCCATTCTGATTTGTTTGGTGGCAACATTTTGCGTGATTCGTTCAGAACCTCGAACACCTCCATCACGTAGTGCTGCTCAGTTACATGTACCATTTCTTCTTGGTACGTTTTTAAATATTGGTCAAAATAAAATACAAAAAATTTATTCAAAATACTTACTAATAAATATTCTGAAGTCTGAAATAAGTGATATTTTGTTCAGAGATGGTCCTTTCGAATATATAATGGTAATAGTAATTATTAGTTTTTAAATTCGTGATCAGAGTTTTAGAATTATTCATACAAGTTTGTGTTTTAATTATAAAGAATCTTTCACAGGAATGAAACAGTGTTTTACTAACAAGGCGTATTTACTGCTCTTGATAGTTATGGGTGGTGGAATTGGCATGTTTAATTGTTTATATACAGTAATACAGCAACTTTTTTGTGCAACGGGACATTCGAACTCATTTTCTGGTTTGTGTGCTGCATTAATGATAATTGGTGGGGTTTTCGGAGCTACTGGTTCAGGTAATTGTTATTAGTTTTGTCGTTTTGTCTTCTTCCGGTTCGCTCACGAACAGGACTTCTGGTTATTTGTTTGTATATTTAGTATGAAAAAACTGTTTTTCCTGAATGTTTTCCTTTATCTGATTAACGCAGGTTCACTGATTTTTTTTCTGTTCCTGCTTTTATAAATTATTTCTTTATTATATTGATAAAGTTGTATTGATAATATTGAGAAATTGACTTCGCCTTTTAGTTTTCTTTCAGTTTTTGATAATTCAGTTTTTAGGAATGTTTGTTGATCGAACCAAACTTTATGAAGAAACGATGAAAGTGTGCATGTCACTAGCTGTCTTTTTTGGCATTGTATTTTTGCAAGTAATGTTTTTTTACTCAGAAAGTTTTGTAGCTTATCTAAAATTTCATTCCAATAATATTTGCAAGATGAGTAACGTTAAGAAATTGTGTATGTAATTCGTTATTTTTCATATGGCTGACTATATATCACTGCTTTTAGTAAATTGGGAATTGTTCTGTAAATGAACTGAAAAATAGCAGATTAGATATTCCCTTGAATTATAAGTTAATTACTCTGTTCAGCACTGTCTTGCTTGTAACTCCATAATGTTTGCTGGAGTTGTGCAGCTTCAGAGAATTCAGTAATTTTTCATGCTTTTTTCAGAAATATTCTCGGAATATTTTGAAAATATACTTCATAAATAAATTTGATTTTCAGTTAACTTTACACCCTGGTTTAACTATTTATCTTGCTGTTACTGCTTTCTTATTTGGCGTTTTGGGACTCGCAACATATCCAGTTGGTCTAGAATTGGCTTCCGAATGTACCTTTCCGGTATCTGAAATAACGTCAACAGGCCTTGTAGTGCTAAGTGGGCAGGTAGGTATACATGTATAATCTGATTTTTGTGTTTGTATTACTTTAAAGTTATTTCAGTGAGACAAAAGATGCAAATTATGAAAAATTTGTTGTAGGTGCATTCAATAGCTTATGTAGCTATAATGAGTTTATTTTCCCGACCGCTGCAATCGTCTTACAAACACATTCAAGTCTGTACAATCGGAAGTGATGCCGATTCTACTTCCATATCGCAAGATAGCTCTATCTCAATTATTGTAAGTATTCAGTTTTCATGGCCCATTTTTGTGTTGCATTAGTATTATACTCATGTTCATCTAGTTTTGATTACTTCCAAATAGTTTATGTGATGTAGTTCCTTTAGAATTTCGCATCAGTAATGATACTTTTATCGAAATATGTTTTGAATTGTTTGAAATCAGTTCGAAATGTTTTGCGTTTTTTGTTTTTTTTGTTTTGCATTTATTGGGTATTTACACATCTGGGATGCAGTTTTTAAGCACGAGCAAAAGCCTTGTTTATAGCTTGTATTCCAAATCATAAATATGAACAATAAAGTTTCAGGTAATGTCCGGAATAGCTACTTTACTTGCAATAGTATTAGTTGTATTTTTCAAACCGACTTGTAAACGTATGGAAGCAGAAAAAAATACTCGAGACATTTCGCTAAAAGCAAATGGAAAAGAGGTATGTGAGATTAGGCAACTAAATGATTTGATCTCTACAAAAGACGAGAGTTTTGTACCATTAGCTCGACAGCAGAGTAGCAGTTGAAATTAATTTTTGCAGTTTTTTTTTTGGCTTGCAAAACAGTCGCGTTTTCAGTTTTCGGTGGAGCTTTTTTTATTTATGTAAGCTCAGTAAAAACTGTTTCTTATATCGTTGGTATGGTTACTCAAAGCAAATAAGTGTATTTAACGAAGGTTTGTTTTGATCAGATTATTTGCCTTAGTGATTCAAAAATGATGAAAAGTGTTCAGTACTGAATTTCTAAACTTCCACTCTTTGGCATAGCCGTTATTTCTTGGGTCTTTATAGTTCATAATTGTTGTAATTGAAGTTTATATACTTCGTACAGTTTGGCAAAATTTCGAAAAGGAATTAACACTGCCTTTTTTGCATTCTGAGTGATTTGTGCTTAATCAAGGTTCTGATATAACGGTTTAAAAAATGCTGCATGCTGTAAAAGATATTTTGTTACATGTACAGAAATCAGCTGAATTTGTGAGGTGCATCAGTTTTTAAAAGTTCCTTCTTTTGCATCCCAATTTTTCATATTAAATTATAATTTTTAAATGTCAAAATGTCATAGATTAAAGAATTTTTATTTAAATTTGCTTCTACGGTGATGCTTTTGCTCATTCACGTTTTCTTTATCGGTGCTGATTATAGAATTGATTTCAACACTTCCTATATTTAATTTTATTCTATGCATCTACTGCAAATGGACTTGGGATTGTGAACTTACATTAGTTTTCGATTTTTTATTATTTAGTTTTCATGTTCCGACTGGAAGCAAACTCATGTTCTGGTTTTGAATTCTTTTTCAGAAAAGGTTTAAAAGTTTTAGAAGTACATGGGATAAATAAATGTAATTTTTAGTTGCAGTGAGAAGGTTCTATATTTTTATCTTATATCAATTAATTTTATCAATTTGATATACCAGATCGAAAGTTTCTTCAGTGTCGTTTGAAAAACAGCAATTGAA